AGGGAGTAGAAAGTGGGACGTCACTCATGAATACATATACTATTTCAGTTACTCAACATGAATAAGTTCCAGAGATCTGTTGCACAACATTATCTACAGGCTACTTAAAAATCTGTTCAAAGTATAGATCTCACAGTAACTGTTCTTACCACAATAAAAAAAATTTTTAAGTACTCTCTTCTCACCTTTTTTGATAAGGGAATGATTTACAAACTGAAACTCACTTTCAAGTAAACATTTGTTAACATTTTACGCTCCGGCATAGATTATAAAATTCCTCATCAACAGAGAATAAAACTACCAAGTAAATCTTTTACAATAAATCAGATATCAAAAACGAAATTTTCTGCCTTTAAAAATCTTCCTGATTCTGAGTTTTCAAGCAGGCTGCTACTGTTGACCTGACCTCAGTTTGGTTTCCATTTCTGACCTGTGCCGTTCATTGTGGATTCTTCCATATTTTATTTCATGTGGAACTTACTGTCAAGGCCTAAAATTCAATAATGACTGAAAAAGTCCATCTGAACAAAACACAATTTGTTCAGGGATTCAGTTTGGACACCAGAGGGCAGGAGAATCCCTGGAAGTGAAGGAATGGATCCTTGTCGTTGGGGAGTTTCCAGGCTGGCTGACGTTGTAATGATGTAATGCTAAGGCCAGGAGTTTAGGTGAGACTTTTTGTCACAGGAAGTACAGAACTCTGTCAAAACTAGAAAACAAAAGTGGCACATGGAGAGTCGTAGTGTTTATCTCCCTCGGTGATAATGTCAGCAGAAGGCCCAGTGGGAGCACAACTTAAGAAGCAACCTTGATGAGAACGTGAGTGGGAAATGTAAATGCAAAGGAGGTTTTTAAAATAATCTATTTTAAAAATTTTAAGTTCAGTATAAAATGGTGTTCAGTGGAGATTCGGACATCTAGTAGAAAGCAAATTAAAGTAAGATGTGTGCCCCAGAATTACAAGAAAAGAAATGACAAGCACAAGAAGGTTTCAAAACTGCATTATTATTTGTGCAGAGAACAGATCAACCCCTGGGGAAACAATGTGGGGTTCTGTTTGGTTATTCACTTTGATCTCATTGAAGGTAGAGTGGTGCAGAGATTTAAGAGCATTTGATTTGGAGTCAAGTAGAGTTAAATTTAATCCGTGTCTTACCACTTCAGAACAACAAGAAAGAACCCTACCTTTAACCAAAAGTGTAAAGCAAAAATAAACAACTTCTGGTGGTAACTAGGATTGTCATTTTTATGTCTCTAAATTCTATAAAAAGGACATAATCTTCCTGATCAAAGAGAGTGCTGCTCTGCTGGAGTTTTTCTGGAGTCTCTTTCTGTCTCCATTAGCAATACTGGCCCAAGCTCGGGCTATGAATAAAAGTTTACAGATCTTTCTCGACTTACAGTGGGGTTACGTCCCAGTAGACCCATTCTAAGTTGAAAATATTGTAGGTCGAAAGTGCATTCACTACACCTAACTGGTCAACATGATAGCTTAGCCTAGCCAAACTTAACCATGCTAGGAACACTTACATTATTAGTCTATAGTTGGGCAAACTCCTCTAACACAAAGCCTGTTTTATAATAAACTGTTGAGTATCTCATGTAATGTATTGAATACTGTACTAAAGTGAAAAATACAATGATTTTAAGTGCATGGATTGTTTACCCTTGTGATGGTGTGGCCGACTAAGAGCTACAGCTTGGTACCCTGCCCAGCTTCACCAGATTCTCGTACTACATATAACTAGCCCAGGAAAAGATCAAATTCAAAATTCTAGGTACAGTTCCTACTGGCTATGTATTGCTTTCTCACCATCATAAAGTCAAAAAATCAGAAGTCAAAACTTCATCAGTTGGGGACCATCTCTAGTAACAAGGCATAATTATCAAACCTTAGCTACAGATTTGAATGTGCTTACACATGTAAAAAAAAATGGGAATTTCTTGAGAAATACTGATGTTTAGAAAGGATAAAGGGATAACTGTTAAATGACACTTTCTTATGCCTGATATTTTTCCTTTTCTAAATTTTTAAAAACAAAAAAAAGGCTAAGTATCCCTGTGATAGTGTGGATCCAGTCTATTCCCTGGATAATTTCAAACTCTAAGAAAATATGTACAGTGTAAACACTGTATATTTTGAGTACTAAGGAGCAAAAACTGGTGTGTTTACTGTGATGGGGCGCTTCTTTTCTCATTGATGAAAAACTCTCCTCACTGACTCTTATGCATGACTCTTGGTAGGGAAAGGTCACCTATTCACATTTCAGAGAAGTGGCTGTGTTCTTATGAGGAGAGTACTGTGACACGTGATTTGTCTTTTTTTTTTAAGATTTTATTTATTTATGAGAGAGAGAGAGGCAGCAGGGAGGAGCAAGGGACAAGCAGATTCCACACTGAGCACAGAGTCTGACGGACCGCTCAATCTCACAACCCTGAGATCATGACCTGAGCCAAAACCAAGAGTCAGATGCTTAACGGACTGTGACACCCAGGCAGCCCGACACGTGATTCATCTTTAAGCCTCCCATGGCATTTCACAGCTCTTCAGGCAGGAGGAGGGAAATGGTGACAAGCCCCTCAGCGGCACCTCTAACCTACACTGTATTTGGAAAAAAGTAGGCAATCTGGATGCATTGGCATGTGATCATTTCATGATCAATTTCAATTTTTTAGTATAAGAATCAGCTACTACATATATGCATGTAAATTGTTTTCTGTAGGGGCGCCTGCACGGCTCAGCTGGTCAAGGGTCCCACTCTTGATTTTGGCTCAGGTCATGATCTCAGGGTCGTGAGATCGAGCCCTGCATGGAGCCTGCTTATGATTCTCTCCCTCTCCTTCTGCCCCTCCCCCCTCAAAAAAACCAATTTTCTGCAGTTAAAACGTAGATGGTTTCAGTCCCAAATTCTCCAGTAACGTCTAGATGACGGAAAATATTTTTTTTTAATGGCCTCAATGGTCATAGTATTTTTAAAAATAAACTCATGTAGAAGCAGCTCCAAATGTGATAGTCCATGATACTTAACCCCATAATCCTAGTATGGTGAAATTTCCCCAACTAGAGTTCCCTCTGAATTTTAACTATCCTCCTCAAAAAAGCCCCAAATATATATAATGTAAGTTGAAATTCTACGTATATTCATTATATATATATGTACACTACAGTTCAGTATACACATATAGAATACATATTCAGTAAAAGGTATTCTATCAAAGGGGAAAATAAACATAAATTAACATAAAATAATTTTAACATAGATAATAGTACAAAGACTAAAGGCTTGGATTCTGCTTGGACTCTGCTGCCAGAGTATCTGGATTTAAAACGCAGGTGCACCACTCACTAGCTTTGTGACCTTGGGCAATTTACTGCACCTCTCTGTGCCGGAGATTGCTCACCTGTAAAATGGCATTAATAACAATAGCACTTGCTTCTTAGAATCATTATGAAGCTAAGATTTGTAAAACCTTTAGAAGATTACCTGCACACCCTAACCTACACCTTACGTTACTGTTAAATAAATAAATAAGACAAGTAAGTACAACTTTGATGTTCAAAGAAAATAAAAAAGCGAATCCTGTAAAGAAGATGTGGTATATATACAATGGAATACTACTCAGTCATCAAAAAGAATGAAATCTTGCCATTCACAAGGACATGGATACAACTAGAGGGTATTTTGCTAAACGAAATAGGTCAATCAGAGAAAGACAAATACCATATGATTTCACTCATATGTGGAATTCAAGAAACAAAACAGATGAACAAAGGGGAGGGGAAGGAAAAATAAAATAAGATGAAAACAGAGAGGGAAGCAAACCATAAGAGACTCTTAACTATAGGAAACAAACTGAGGGTTGCTGGAGGGGAGGTGGGTGGGGGGATGGGGTAACTGGGTGATGTGCATTAAGGGCACTTAAGGTAATGAGGAGAAGGTGTTGTATACAACTGATGAATCACAAAATTCTACCTTTGAAACTAATAATACAGTATATGTTAATAAAATTGAATTTAAATTAAAAAATCTTTAAAAAGTGAATCCTGAAAATCATATTATTGGCAATTTTTTTTCCATGGAAGTGTGATCACCTTATAATCAGTCCAGAAAACATACTTGAAACATATTTCTATTGAGGAGTTACGAGAGGGAAAATAGACATTGTTGTAAAGTGTGTTTCCCACATTTAATTAGGTTATGTAACAGGAAGATGAAAAGAGAATTCAGAAAGCCTGGCTACCAACTGTTTCCTGTTTAAGAACAAACATATGAAAAGAAAAAAATCAGTAGAATTGGATGGATTAAGTTAATAATTTTTCTCAGACATTTTGATGATTACTTTAGACCTCCTGGTAGAAATATTCATATTGAAACTTAAGTGAAAAAAAAGGTGTTTATTAGGTCAATTAGCCCATCCTAAAATATTTAAATAACTTAAGCTGTTTTAATCACATCAACGAAAACAAAACAACACAAAAACTTTCTATTTAAAATGCAAATACAGATTTTACACAGCAAAGTGTTTTTTTTTAACAGATGCAACATAATAAGGAAATAAATGAACCATTGTAACTGATGTAGTCATTGAAAAGTAGAAATGAGGACCTGAAGACTCTAGTTATATACAGAGCTGTACGTGGGAAATAAATATTTATTTGGCATTTTCATTTAACTTGGAATATTTGTCATTCTAGATATCAAATCATCTTGATGATTCTGTAGACTTACTGAAGATTGGCACTATATTTTCAGCAGAGCCTGCTCCTTATTATATAATCCATTGTTTCCTGTTAGTACTTAAAGCTCTTACTCAGAAGAAAAAAAAATGTCAAGTTCCAGGGAAGTATGGAAATGCTAATACATCACCGTGAATAAATAATAGGTATTTTAAAAACCACAGTATATGTTGCTGTGGTAAATAGCATAGTTTATTGTAATAGAATTAAGTAGAGGATATGGGCTTCAGAAAATAATTTGATTATGAAATTGGATACATACTGTGCCAGGTCGGGGATAAGGAATTCTTCCATCATACTGCACCCAACGATGGTCTGCACTTTCCTTATGAGCATATGGACCATTGAAAACTGCTCTGACGTCAGCCATGCTGTACACACAAACAGCTGAGCCTTTGAAGATGGAGCTGTAAAAAAGCAACATGATCCAATCACTCCCCGTACAACAGTCACTGTATACTTATTTATTGAGCACATATTATAACCAGGTGTGTGGACAAACTTGGGCAGCACATTCCATCCGATAGGTGCTGCAGACGAAATGTGTGGATGTCCTTAAGGAGCTTATAACCAAGTAATCCTGAAAAAGGTGTGATAGCAGTTACATTACAGATAATTACAGTAACAAGCGAAGCAAGCATGCAGATGGGTCCCCAGTACAGAGCTGTCTGGTAAGTTTTCAGAGAGTAGGTGGTGTCTACATTGACACCTGATGGATACATGGGAAATACCTAGAAAAACTGAAGGACAGAAGGAAATATGCAGAAAAGAGTATCAAATTTATATACCTGCTTTTGAATTTTATTTAAAGTTCTTACAGCATAGTGCCTTCTAAAGAACTTATAAAAAAGTTACATTACCTATTTTTTTATAGAGGAACACTTTAGGTATATAAATAATAAATATCTCATTTAGGTTTTCTTTTTTTTTTTTTTAAGATTTTATTTATTTATTTGACAGTGAGAGATAGCAAGAGTAGGAACACAAGCAGGGGGAGTGGGAGAGAGAGAAGCAGGCTTCTCACTGAGCAGGGAGCGTGATGTGGGGCTCGATCCCAGGACCCTGGGATCATGACCTAAGCTGAAGGCAGACGCTTAACAACTGAGCCACCCAGGCACCCCTCATTTAGGTTTTCTTAAAGTGAGTGAATGTCCATAAACATTGGCTATTAATAATTTCCTCAATTTTTATTAACTCAAAAAAAATGTTGAAATTCTTTTGTGCTTCTCCCCAAATTTTCGAATTTCTTCTTGAATTTATGTATGTAACCTATGTGATACTTAAAATTAATCTTAATTACACAGGACTGGAGGACACATAATCAAGAAGCAGAAAAGTGCCATGGGAATTTCACAAGTTTTTGCAAATTAGTGGTGAAAACTGTTAAAACACTATCATCAGATGTTTCATTTTTTTTTATTTCTGGAAAATAAAAGACATTTTCTCTGCATCTAAAATTTTCAGTGATTTTTGTTCATAAAAACGAGATCACCCTTTATGATCTAAGAGACATATCATCTCAGCACTACACAAGTGAGCCAAGGATTCTCTAGCATGGGAAACTGAATCATTAATATTCTTGGAATGAGGGGAGCCTGGGTGGCACAGTCAGTTGGGTCTGCCTTAGGCTCAAGTCATGGTCCCAGAGTCCCGGCGTCCCAGGATCCAGCCCCACATCGAGCTCCCTGCTCAGCGGGGAGTCTGCTTCTCACCCTGCTCTCTTGCTCTCTCTCACTTTCTCTCTCAAATAAATAAATAAAATCTTAAAAAAATATAATCTTGGAATGACATTAATGGGAAGCAACGGGAGCTGATGACAAACAGGCAGCTGGAAGAAAACTCTGCTAAGAAGGGAGGTGATGCCCCCATTAAAGATCACATCCTCTGCCTAGGATATTTTAAAGGAATGATACATCACGCTTTATGGTGTTTCTATTGTTGCAGATTAATCACATCTTCTTATTGGACAAAGGATGTGACACTGCTTCCCAGTATTACCTCAGTCCTTGGGGCGGCATTAAAAATAGAATAATAAAGTACACCAAGAGCAAAGAGTTGACTTGTAACTTCACACTCTGGGTGGGCAGAGTACTTAGTAGGAGAAAAAAACATAACTATCTTGGGGCTGTATTTCCCTGGCACATGTCTATGCCTTGTGTTGGAACACACAGTGACTTCAAAGACAGTTCTGTGAATGGAAAGATGCCAAGTGAACTAGCTCTGAGACTTAACTTGAGTAACTACAGGCACTTGCTTTTCTTGCATCTTTTTAGTTAAGATATAAATTACCCGAAAAATGGGGTCCAAATAGCAGCATTCTTAGGGTATCTTCTTTATTTTCACTGTAAATATTCACATTCTCTATCTTACAATGAACCAAGGAGCATTTTGTTTTCTGATATCGTCCGAACCACACTATTGGTACAAGGTGTAAGGTGAACTGAATGAAGGTAATGCCACATAAAAGAAATTATAATTTGCCTACAGATTAATGATTTATTCAAAAGGAGGCAGTAAGACCATTTCTCTAATAGCAATACCAATACTGCCAATTCTTCCAATACTAATATCAATATAAACAACGGTGATAGCAGAGCTGTGGAAAAAGTAAAAAAGGAGTTCAAAGAAGGTGTTGCAGGGAGTAATATGTAACAGGAATAAAGCTGTCCCATGTTCAAATGTAAGTTTCTGAATTAAACGAAATTAATATTAGATAAAATTATGTAAGGTCCATATATTCTTTGAGAAAGCTTCATAGATGATAGGACAACTTTTAAGGAAGTCACGGAGTCTCGGTGACAAGTACAGGACAGTATTACACAGAATGAAGACAAAAACACAGGGGTGAAAATTAAGAAAACACCTTTGGTTCTAGTCCCATTTTTACTACAACTTGGCCCATCTTCTTGGCGCAAGTCATACAAACCTCCTTTGCCTAAGTTAGCAGACAATAATGATATGCTGGTAACAGCCAAACTCCCATCTTTGTAGGGTAACGGAAGGGTATCTAAGATTGTACATGATGACACTTCAGAAGTCAAGAGTGTCGCATCTTATGACTGCAACCTAAGCAATGACTAAGGCATGTATTTCTTTCATACTACTTCTATGTCATGCAGCTTAATCTATTTATTATGGTGAGTATATGCATACACCTTTGCATCCTGTAACTTTAGTCTGGGAATTTAACTCACAGAAGTACTTGCTTACTTGCTTACACAGAGAAATGGCCATATGTACAAGGTTAGTCGCTGAAGCATTATGCGTACCACCGAAGACCTGGAAACAATGGAGATGTTATGTATAGGAAACTGGCTAAATGAATTGTGGTAATTGATATAGGAGTACTCTGCTGGCATAAAAAGAACAAAGGACATTTTATGTCTTGATATTAAAAGAGTTCTAGGAAACACTTTGTGAAAAAATAAAATGAAAAACGGGTATTTTTTTTCACACAAAAGGAAGGGACAAAAAAACAAATATTTCTTCTATAGAAGAATTACAAGTGTTGTTTTTGTTTTGTTTTGTTTTGTTTGTTTTTTAACTTACCTGGTTGTGGTAAAGACTCCATAGACTACAGGATTTCTTTCATCTCTTGTGGAGAGTAAGTAAATATCCTCTATTAATGGGAAAAAAATAACAATTCAATATATTTTTATATTTCAGTATTACATATTTGCCTTTTCTTTAAGAAATACAGTAGTTCTGAGACGCTAATAATATATAAAATTAACAGTGAAAGTCGTTAATTATGACATAAGAAATTAAGGATAAAAGACTGGTTTTCTCACGAGTCATGTGACACTGAACTGGATATCTAACCTTTCAGGTGTCTACTTCAATCACCTGTAAATGGGATGATTCACTTGATAATCTCCATGACTATTTCCAGTCAGAGGTATGTGATTTCTTACAGAATAGAAATTAAAAACATAGGGTGTTTTTACCTTCCAATGTAAAAAAAGTCTTGTCCTACAATTGTGTCAACTTACTAATAATTCAATTATCTATTTGCTAACAATATAAAAATAGCTACACAATTAATTACTTGTGCAGTATTACTTGTGTAACTTGCTCAGTATTTTGTAACTACTTGAGCAGTATTGACACCAAAGTATGTGTAAATAATATTCATTAAAAGATTATTTAAGATGTGAGCATGCTTATATACAACATGAGGAATCACCCATGAATATTGAATATATACTTTAAATACCGTATGGCAAAATCATTCAATGATAAAATCATTTTTACATTGCAAGGCAAAAACAAATTCGAAAGATAAGATTTGATGATGCTAACTTCATATTTAACTGAAAAAATTCCTTCTAGAATTAGCTTTGAGGGGGTAAAGAGGGGAAATGAAAGAGAATAATCCGTCTAACACTTTTCTGAGTATTCTTTTTCTTAACAAGTCGGAGGGAGCGAGTTCACCCAATCTCTCGTGCTCTCCAGCAGAGGGCAGTCTCAGAATAAAGAACCCAAGTTCTTGCTACCTATAGACAGTTACGCATGTTTAGAGTTAATTTCCAATTTGCATACTTTGTTTAGAATTTGGGAGAAATTTTTTGAAAGATAATTGTCAAATTATTGGAAATTTGTTATAATGGATAAGACGCTGTCATATAAAATTCATATTCACCTCTTACATCAATTAGACACATTGTTGCACATGATTTGACTTACGTTAATTTTGTTTCAATAATTAAAACAATGGTAAAACTTAAAAAAAAAGTAAAAGGCCACATGGAGAGTGGATGGGTTCTTGCTAGTAGCTTTTTGTCTCTTGCTGCAGCTTTGTTTCCTCATAACTATGAGGATGCTTACAAAGAGACGAATTGCTTCATTACAATGTGCTCTGAAACCTAGAGCACCATGTTCTTTGTGTGTGTGAATTTAGTAATAACACTCCTGCAAGCTGTCCTGGGTATACTGGGGGCTAAAATAAAACAAATGCTGAATTTATTAGGCAGTAAGTAATTTTTAAGAAAAAAAGGAGCATGCGACTTACGAAGCTCATCAAAATGAGTATCTGCCCCATCATTTCCAGGAATGGAGCAAATCAATCTGGCTTTAAGAAAAGTCGTCCATTTGTTTATCAGGCTGCGTTGTCCTCCTACATCATTCTGGAAAAAAAAAAAAAAAAGGAAAATAACAAAGATACAGATTTAACGCAATTGTTTACAAAGACAGGAAACCTACATGTTTAAGGCCTTGAACTTTCAAATAAGGGAAAAGGCAGTTTGGTCCCTTAAGATTACATGCTTTTCTAATGCTTGAATGAACGCAACGTCTACAACATGGCTCTACTTAATGAGTAGATGCAGGCAGGGCTATCCAGTAAATGAGTGAGGCCTGGAATCAAATCTCACCTCTGTCACTTTTTTTTTTTTT